AAAATTAACATATGTTAAAAATTTAAAGAAAATTAAAACACTAAAACAAAAGAAAAAGACTGTTTAATTTCCAAACCAGGGTGAACATTCCTACTGAGTCAACAAAAGAAAGAAAAATATGATACTAAGAAAAGCACAGTCAATTTTCTAGAATCTAGAATAAGATGTAAACAAATATCCAAATATGTTAGTAATCAAAATAAATATAATAAATCAATTATCTCTATTAAGAGAAAGAGACTTCAGATTTGATTTAAAATAAATAGCTATGTGTTGTTTGCAAATGGTAATGTCTTACAAAGGGAAGTGGAAAATTAAGGAATGATAAATTATATACTAATCAAAAAAAGAAAATAATAGTTTTATCAGAAATATATAGAATTAAGACAAAAAATTATAAATGAGGACATTAAGTAAGCTAAAAGTAATGTATTTCCCCAGATGATATAACAGCTGTGAAGTTGTATAGCAACCAAAATGATCAATATATGAAGTGAAGTAGGCAGAACAGCAAGAAGAAACTAAAAATCTTATAATGATAGCTGGGTACATTAACTCATTTCTTTTGGAGACAGAGTAGCAGACGAGAATATTATAGGAAGATGGTGAAAAGGAAGAGGGCTAAAAGTGAGTGCCTGTTGGTAATATGAATTGGGACGCTCATTTAGAAGAACAGTCTGGTAACATTCATTTGAAAGTGCATGAGGAGTATTTCCTAATAATTCTGCTTCTAGATATACCACTCAGGAAAACTACTGCACATCTGTTCAAGAGGACATGTTCAAGAATTCCCAATTAAGCATTGCTTTTATTAGTAAAAATGGAAAACAGCCTAAGTGGTATACAAATGCTATCCAGCAGTTAAAATGAGTAAACCTGATTTTTATGTATAATGTGGGAAGAATTTTTAAAATACTTTTTTTTGAGTGACCTACATACATTTTAGAAAAATTGGCCTATGCTTTGAATATAAATTAAAAATACTGGCAAAAGCTCTGATATAAGATCTTATTCCTGATTCTAAGGAGATAATTGAAATAGAGGGAGGAACAAGAGAATATCAAAAACACTATTTCTTTCAAGAAAAGAGGAAAACAAAGCATTTCTATTAAAATTAAGAAAGCAAGGGTTCTAAAGATCATAGTGTTTATTTAATATTTTGGTGGTTCTAGATAATAGAATAAGACACTGGGATAAACATAGTAAAGAAAAGGTTTTGTTTTCAGCTATAATTGAATACCTAAGAAAATCAGAAATTTCAATCGAAAACCTATTTAAACTAAAAAGAAAATTTACTAAGATGGCTGCATAGAAAAATCAAGAGTTTTCCTTTTATAGTAGTGTAACAGGGTGTGAAAATGAAAGCTTTGACTGAACTCTGAATTGAATTACAATGTTCTATGAGTCAGATCAACAAGCTGAAATTTCAAAGAAGGTGTCTGTGAACCTGCTAGATGAATCATCTACATCAAGGAGCTAAAACAGTCAGGTGGCTGGTGATTCAACAGGATTTGGTGAAGAGAACTGGTTTGGAAAATCTGTATTCCCCAGTCCTGTCTTCCATCCCAGAGAAAGGGAGGAGGGATGATTGACCTTCCTTCTCAAATCTAGGGAGAAAGTTTTACGAGGGCTGTTTGCAAAACTTGATAGATGTTTTCCATAGTGTGACTAGGTAACTAAGTTCCTTCTAATAAGAAATAGTGAACACAGATGTCTTGTTCTCCTTTCCCTCCTTCCTCTAAGGCCACTGCTCCTGGACCAACTAGAACAAGACATCTGTGTTCACTATTTCTTTTTAGAAGGAACTTAGTTACCTAGTCACACTATGGAAAACATCTGTCAAGTTTTTCAAACAGCCCTTGTAAAACTTTCTCCCTAGAAAGTTTTAATAACTTTTATTTTGATTGTTATTTCTTGTTTCTTTCTAAAAGTCAGTGTAACTCAATAATGTCACATTCCCTCAGGATCACCACAAATATCATTCTTTTTCTTTTTCATATTTTAGAGTTTAATTGCTTCATTATGTTTGTTTTGAAACATTTATCCATATATATTTTAAGAAAGAAAATATCTGTGGCACAGCATTTTTATATGGAGCATAATTAATCAACTAAATATATTATTTGCCAAATTAATATTTTTTCATATAATTTGTTACACTAAAGGAGTGATTTTTGTCAACTTATTCCCCAATCTTCAGCTGACTGGAAATCTTTGAAATAAAGATAATAAAGGTAACATATTTTATTAGATATCATTAAGAGAGATGATTCTACAAAATCCAAGCTTGCAGGACTTCTATCATCATTATTTTTTTAAATAACCATTTAAAAAAAAACTTTTCTGGAGCTAAAGCAGGGATCTCAACCTGAATGCAAAGATTCAGAGCAGTCTGGACAATTAGTAAAATGGAATGTGGAAACCTGTTGACATCCCAAGTAGGCTGTCTTTGTCCAACACTGAATCTCCATTGCCAACAAATTTCTCAGTAGATGTTTGTTGAATCAATAGGATAATGGAAGGATCATTGAATGGATGGACAGATAAAGGAGAATAAAGATAATTAAGAAATGTCACAGGTGAGTGGCTATTACCTAGACTGGTGGTGTGGAGATAAGAATTTACTAACAGTTGTAGGTAAAGAAAAGTTTAAAGATTTATTAGAGAAAGTACAAAATTATGTTTCAAGGAAGCAATGGGTAGGCTAGCAAAAAGGAGCTGACTGCAAGGAAACAAAGGCTTGCTGGGGATTTTACAGGACCGTGCTTGTTCCGTGTGCCGAAGAGGGCTTTGTGCAGTACTGATAATGCCAAGATTGCAGTGAGCTAACTTGCATTTTTTGCATCATCCCAGGTACTGGTGATAGCTGGGCGCAGGAGGACTGGGATTTATTTGTGCAGCAGGGCTATGTGTTTCTGGACCGTGAGAAAGGCACACATAGATTATCTGCTCTCTCTTTTTGCTTTCCCTCAGTCCCAGCAGCCTGACTCCTTTTTCCTAATTAGGATTCCACAAGAAAGCGGTTTCTGGATTATCAGAAGGTAGATCACCCTAATAAACAGAGGATCTACTGCTGGTATTTGTTTCCTGTCCTGACTTCATCAAACTCATGTCCAAGGTCAGAGGATATCAGGAGAACTGTGAATGACAACTATAAATGTGGTTTCATTAAAACCTCAAATTATTGCTTGAAACACACGCAATAATGCTTGTAATCTCTGCTAATGAAAGAAGGAAAACCTTCTTCCCCACCTAACATCAAAGTATAGGGATTTTCCAGACTGTCCCTGCACAGCGAGTTTATTCTTCACTACTTCTACCACATATCCTCGGGCTCATAGCAATATATGAGGAACAGTTTACATGTAGCTATAGCCTGCACTTATAGATGCTAGAAATAGCTAATATTATTTAAATTCTCCTCCTAATGTGTCTTAATTATAATGCCAGGATCAGGGCTCTGCCCTACAAGACCCTGAGACTAAAGTGCCTTTTTAACTTTTATACTGTGGGCACCTTTCTTGCTTCACCCTAGTTTTTGGCCTTGTTTAATTAATACCTATTAGCTAATGACAAATAAAGATCCTAGGTTAAAAAATTATTTCACTGTGTTTCATATCCATTGATGAAGCTTCTAGGATATATAAAAAAATGGTGAGACGAAAAATACTGACCTCAGGTCATTGCTTTCCGTGGAAAATGACTTAATGCATGTTAACCCTACATCCCCAGATATTTTAATTTTTCACCCACTTAGCTTCCTCAAACCTCGATTGAGGTCCTTCTCTAGGAGTAATTACAGAGCCAAAGATGACTGCAGCTCAGTCACTGCCCTTGGGACTGGGCAGTTATTTATAATAGCAGAATTTTTTTTTTCCCTTAGCAGTTGTAATAAGTATACACTGACCAGTCTCCATTCTGATACTTCATTTAGAAGCTAAGCAGTACGTTTTTTAAAAAAGTTTTAAAGCCACTTTAAAATTAGAAAAGCTTTCAAATGGTGTATGACATATACTATACCGACAGGCTAACTTGTATGCTTTGGAGCACCACTCAGAATAGCTGTAGTTTTGTTCCTACAGAAAATGATGTCAAATAGGCCCAATCTTGGTGAATGTGGGCTGGTGTGGGACCTTCTTTTAAAAATAGAAGTGTCCTGACTAATCTGTTATACTGGCAACAGATCTAAAGACTATAGGCTGGTACTTGTGAAGATTAGAGAAAATGAAGACACACAAAGACAGATTTGCCTTTCCCATCGTGGCTAAGATAAATCTGTCATTCAGTTAGAACTGCAAAGAACTTTCGTTTAGATTTTAACTTTTTGATATATAATTCACAAAGGGAATTTGTCTCACTTCAAAAATAAGTTTTCAAATATCAAACAACAGAAGAAATGTTTTTTTACATTATAGAAATATTTGAGACTTTTCTGACAATGCCCTCTGTCCTAGAAAAAAAAAAGGAGCAAACTTTGTTCTCTAGAGTTTTCCTAACAAACCTCTTTCATTTGTCTCTGTGGAAACAGTCAAATTGCCAGGGGCAACTTTGCCAACCATATGTTGTCAGAGATTTAACATTTTTTTAAAGGTTAGGTTGCATTCTTCTATTTATTTCATTAATCTCTACTGAGGGCTGGTTTTATACTAAAACTGTTAAATTGTTGGTGAATTTACTGATCTTTTGTAAGAACTAGCAAGTATAGACCTGAGTGTTGAGGAGCTAACAAAAGTATTTTGCCGAACAGTGGGCATTTACAGCTTCTTTACAGGGCAACAAGAAAGGGTGTTAACATAATCTGAGCAAATTCAAGGTGACCTTGTTAGCCAACTATTGACTGAGGTGGGAGGAAGAGGGGAAGGAGGAGGAAATAGATGACTGATCTAAATGAGTTTTGCATTTTATATTGTGCTTATACCAGCCCTCAGAGCAAATTGTGTGCATCTTCTCCCAGCTCTGTGCTCGGTGACACCATGTTGGTAGCGTCTTCTTTTTTTTTTTTTTTTTTTTTAATGTTAAAAAATTAACGTGTCATCCTTGCGCCGGGGCCATGCTAATCTTTGTATTGTTCCAATTTTAGCATATGTGCTGCCAAAGCGAGCGCACGTTGGTAGCTTCAAACAAACCATGGTGGGAGTATTTACACTGCAAAAATAAGCAAATGTTACAAATCCTGGCATTCCCTCCCTGGAGAGCCAGTTGTTAAACCTTTACCAGCGCACCGCTCATTACCTGGAAACTCCCAATGGACACTTTGGCAAAGAAAAGCAACTTAGTGAAAAAGAAACAAATCACAAGCTAGGATGAAAGTATCAAGAGGGGAAGGAAGAGAGAGAATTGAGGCAGTTGTGGTTAAGATAATAATGTAATCACCTAGGTAAGCAATGACTATTGGAAAAACGCAGGTAAGAATTGAGCCCATTTACTGAGATGGTTGGCTATTTCTGTGATGTAAATTTATTGAAGTGACACCCAGGCAGACGCTAGAAAGACATTAGATAGTTTTGCCTGGAGTTCCTTGGACTAGCAGGAAGCAGCCCATTTTTAGAGTTAAATAAAAGCTGGGGACAAAATATAATTAAAATATGGCATGTCAAGAGGGCAAAAACAGATAAATAGAGGCACTTCGAATGAAGAATTGAGGAGGAATAAGAGCAAAAAAAGTTTTAATCTCTAACTCAAGTCAATTTAGTATAATCTATATCAACACTGCTCATAATAACTAACTTCTTCCACATTTCTAGAATATTCCAGGTACTGGGTTATATCCTGTATATACATTATGTGAATTGACATTCACGGTACTCATGTAAGTAAGTGCTAATATTGCCTCATTTTACAAATAAACTAAATGAAACTTAGAAGTATTAAATCACTTGACCGAAGTCTAGTCCAGAGCCTAAGCTCTTCCCCACTTTAGTATGCTTTGCTACGCCATTCCAGGGCTTGCTAGATAAAGTTTAAGCAGAGAATTCTGAGGTAAATTTTAGAACTGAGGCATAATGACTCCTTAGTTCATTGAGATCTCTTATACCTAAGGAAGGTACCACTAAACTTGAATTTCTATTTTTATGATTGTGCTTTTAATTGGTATCTTTTTCACAGTACCTTCAACATAGAGTATCTACATCTCATAAATGTATATTATATAAAATAATTCTTTCATTTATATAAAGTAATGTGAAAAGGCCCAATTTACTGTATAGTATCTACATCTGGAAACTTCAGCCACCTAAACACTTTTCTTTTTCTTAAGTAAATTTTTTGAAGTATAATACACACACACACACACACACACACACACACACATATATATATATAAAGGACATATTTTGTAAGTGTAAGGTTGAATGAATTTTCACCAAGTATGCATACTAGTACAAAAATTGCCTAGAAAAATAGACCATTTTCAATAACCCAGGAATCCTTCTCATGCCCCCTTTAGTCCCAGCCCCCAGCAAGTGCAACTACTGTCCTGATTTCTATCACCAGAGATTAGTTTGTACCTATTTTTGAATTTATATAAGTGGAATCATAAAGCATGAATACTGTGTCTGGTGTTCTGTTTGGTAAATACTATGTTTTTGAGATCTATTTATGTTGTCTGTAGTTACAGATCATTCATTCTCACTGCTACATGATAGTCCATCATTTTCTCAATGTACTAATGGAAATTTGAATTGAAAAGTATTTATTATTATTTATTATAAGATTTTCTTCCCTTGAACTGCTATCTGTGTTAAGCGTTTTGAGCCATCGACAAAGGTCTTGGAGGTTAGGAGAATATTGTGAAAGAATTTGCCTGGAAAGTATACACTCACATAAATTAATTTCTGCTTTTGTTCAACTTCCACTTTATATAACTGGTATATTAAATTCCTAAATCTTTAAACCTTCCTAAGATACTTCAGAGTCAGATGACTTTCTTACTATCTATCCCACTCAGAGATCTCAAAGGCCTATGTAAATTCACATACATGATCCAAAGTTTTGCACATACAATAAGTATAAATTTATAGACCACTAGTAATCCTACTAGCAACTATGAGAACTTTGGGCAGCAGTGCAAACCATTAATAAAAGCTCTTGTTCCAAGCAAAACTCCTAAAGACAACATCCTACTTTCTTTGCACACATTGTAGCCTTTTGCACAAAGTCAATACTCAGCTAAAGTTTGGTGATCTAAATTGAGTTTGGTCATTTCAACAAAGAAAATTAGAAATTATTATACAGAAGGTATTAATTCAATTAATGCCTTTAAAATATCTCTAGTTCTGTAGAAAATAATCAGTTATTAATCAAAATTATATCTAGCATACAAATATCTCTTTTCTGATTGGTTGGAAGCCAGTACTCCTTAATTTCTTTCTGAAGGAGCAATTTGAAAATATAGTGAAAGCTGTGGACCTTCTTAGAAAAATTCTGATGAACAGTATTTTTCCACACAATTCTTGTGGGTCCATCTAGGATTCTATGAGGTTTCTGTGGACCTCGTATTAAGAAATTGTATTCTAAACACATTTGATGTTAAACATTTGTTGAATAACTAAATGTCAGGGAATGTGCTATTTGTCACTTTGTGGCATGCATTTGATGAGGGCCATATTGCTCTAAAGGGAGTAACAATTTGTTTTGGGAAGGTGAAAAAAATCTTACCATTTTAGTGTTTAAAACACAGAAATACACACAGCACATTGACTAATAATATATCTGTGGTATTAAAATTTATAGATGAAGCAATTTTTAAAATGTCTACAATGCCTCCTTATGAGACAATCATGAAAAACAGAAATGCTGTTCAACAGCAATTTGCATTTGTGTGACTTTAGCATCAACAGATCAGGGAAACTTAAGGATCCACACATAAAAGGGTTTCCTGGATCTATTAATTATATCTCCAGTACCTAGTATGGTGTTTGCCAGCCTGATACACAGAGCTCACAGAACTGCTTCTTATTCCATATAAATTCCTCTGGAAATGGGAAGGTCAAAAGGACTACTGAAAAAATCAAAAGGACTACTGAAAACTAGCAAGCAATAATAATGACAATTTTTCATGCCATAAACTGTTATTTTGAATTAATATAGGCCTTAGAATTGATTCTTGTTGTTAAAGCCAGGAAACTAGATGGGAATCTCAAATTCTCCCTCTGAGGCAAAACAAATTTAAAGCAAGATCTTACAGAACTTGATCAGAATACATTATAGCGCATATTATTATTACATTGAATCATTAGTCATCCAAACTAATTTGTTGGGTAATAGAACAGATTTTTAAATTTAATCTTGAAAAATACATCAAAAAGTTACAGCAAATCTCTGTAGATGATTAGAAGTTTTTAGTGATTTTCTATTTATCAGTGTCTTAATGACTGCTTCTAGGCAATGTGACTCCAGGAAGAATGTACCATTTATAGTGCATCAAATTAATGTCATAAAATGTTAATGACTTAACATTTCAAAATACAATAGTTTGCTCATTTATATAAACCAATCTCCTTAGATGTGGTTTTCACTAAATAATGGCGACTTTTTAACAATAAAGTCTAAAAGAGCAGAATCCTTTTGGTTTGAGTTGATGACTCACCAGAAACCTCACCACGGTTAAAAAAAAAAATCATGGTTCCAATATTTTAATACTTACTGCTTCTTTTGACGCTTGGGTGGGAATCCTGCTACAGTCAGAACTCTCTGGTTTGGGAGGTACTATAGCTATTGCTTTCTTTACTGATCATAGACAGCCTTTCTCATTTTATTCAGCCACCTAACAAATGATAGCACAAAATGAACCAAGAGAATGGAGAGCAATCAGTGTAAACTTTTATTACCATTGTCAGGTGGCGGGGTGAGGGCAACTCTATTATTATAACAAATAAATAAAGCTTGCAAGGGCAATGACTGAGTTGTAGTCATCTCTGGCTCTCTAGTTACTCCTATGGAAAGACCTCAATCAATGTTTGAGGACATTTTTTGGATAAAAATTATAAAATTATAAAGGTATAAAATTATAATAACATTTGTCTGAGGGTGTAGAGTTTATATGCATTAAGTCATTTGCATTGAAAGCAATTACTTGAAGTCAGTACTGTTAGCCTTGCCATGTTTCACATCCAAGAAGTTTCATCAATGAATAGAAATGAGTAAAATATTTTTTAAACTAGAGTCTTCAGTTTTCATGAGCTAATAGGTATTAATTAAGCAAGGCCAGAACTAAAGTGAAGCACGAAAAGTGGGTAGGGTGTAAAAGTTAAAGAGTCACTTACTCTCAGGGTCTTGAAAGGCAGGGTACTGGTCCTGATTTTAACAATAAAACAACCCCATGTTTCATGACACATAGCAAGGGTGTTTGCAGTTGATGGGAAAAACAAGTCTAAAAACATTGTCTTTGTCCCACAGCCAGAAATATTTTTATTACAGAGATCTTATATGATGACTTTATTTTCTTGTCATTGTGATTTCTTATTATTTTAGTTTGTTGTTAATTGGCATCTTTTTATATAAAGTACCTGTCTGTTAGCCTTGGATAAACTTTGTATAGATTTTTCCACTCTCTGGGCACTAAGAATATGCTTAGGTACAGCATTTCTGAAAGTGTGGGACAAGTATCAGTGATTTGAAGGATAGTTTTAGGTGGTACACACATATAAATACACACATACAACATTAAATAACTTCTAATAACATAAAGTAACAATTCCTTTGGTCCTTTAATTTAGGCCAAATACAAAGACTCATAAAAATGTTACTGTATCTTTGACTTAAAGTTCTCTAAAACTTGTTTTCAACAAAGGATGGACATCAGGTTATAAAATGTTTTTTATTTGCTTTACGTGTAGTCATTTTCAGACTGATATTAAGTTCCTTAGAAATACATGTATTTAGGCCAGGTGCAGTGGTTCACCACCTGTAATCTCAGCACTTTGGGAGGCTGAGACAGGTGAATCATGAGGTCAGGAGTGCAAGACCAGCTTGGCCAAGATAGTGAAACCCTGTCTCTAATAAAAATACAAAAAATTAGCCGGGTGTTGTTGAAGAGGGAGACCCAGGCTTCTCAGATCAACTTCGCCTTTGACTATCATGCTGCATTTCAATAGAAGAAAAGGT